TCTCTCGGGGAGGGCAGAGTCCTCAGAGGACTCTGGCACATGAAGGCGTTTGGCTTATCAAGGGATGGGCTAAGAAGCCTCACCCAGCCATACACCAGCCAGCAACGCTCTGGCTTTCTTAAGTCGTATGTTAACTGCTTTTCAAAAGGAAAATGCTCCGGTTTGGTCCATAAATCACACCATGAAAGCAGTTAGATCTATTTTTAGATCTGTTAGTCTATAAGAAAGGCACAGGAGTCTTTAAAAAACAAAAATGGAATGTACAAATGTGCTTTACACAATTGATGTATGGATTGTGAAGAGTTATATGAGCGCCTAATAAAACGATTAAAAGAAAAAAATGGGGGCACTCATTAACTTCTGTGCCAAATTTATGAAAAATATAATGTCCAGAACTTCTGTTTCCAATGAAGACAAGGTGGGTGTCCACATGCAAAAGCCCCCCATTAGGGTCTCATTGGAATAAATGGTCCCTTTATCTTGCTGCAGGAAGGGAGAGCAATCTTCATTCCAAAAGTGACTTCGACACGTGAAGGTTCAGATGCTCAAACAGCCTCTTGGACCGAGAAACAGATGGCAGCTTGCCCAGAAGACTTCCCTGGTTCCATCCACCTGAAACAGGAGACACCCCCTCCGGCCTTGAAATCAAATTGCTATGCAGTGTCCCCGTATCTGTGAACATGATCGCAGGTTACAGCCTTTCCAGCCCGACTGCTCTGCAGTGCTTGAGCCAACCACAACCAGGGAGCAGAGTGCAGGGGGGTGGGGGGAGGGGGCAGAGGACCTTCCAGCAGGGCTCTGCATTGTTAACAGGCGCTGAGGACCCCTTTCAGGATAAAGCAAGCCGTCACCAGTCTGCCTGCCCACTCACCTAGAACCTGCTTAGACTGTGACAGGCTGGAATCTGGCCACCAGTGTCTCCTCCCCGGATCCAGCCAATGGGAACTCCCTGGCTCTGGACGACACTGTCCCTCGAGCCACGCACACGTTTTTAAACTACTTAAAATCTGCTCTCGCTTATAAACACGGGCAGTGGCCTTTTTCCTCAGATGGGTTGAGTTGCAGCCACTTCGAGGATGGAGCGTTGTCACGTCGTCTGGGTACATTGGTTCTCGAGTCCTGGCTAGGAATGGACACGGGTGGGGACGGAGAAAGGCCCCGGCAGCTGGCTGCATCTGGAAGCGTGTCCTCTGTGGATAAGGGCCTCAAGAGCAGGGAGATGGTGACCTTGCACCTGTGTACACACATCAGGGAGGCCAGAGCCACACAACCAGCTGAGTACCTACTACGTTCCAGCTCTCGGGGGCTCATTCAGGGGCCTCATTTCTCCTCCTTGTTACCGGTGAGTGGCCCGGGAAGGGTGAGGTCTGACTGGCTCCCTTCTGCAATCTCGCCCTCCTGCGAAAGGACAGCAGGTCACCCTGTGCCCACACTCGGGCTGGCTGCCGGCAGGTCACCCTGTGCCCACTCGGGCTGGCTGCTGGCGAGAGGCAGCCAAGAAGCAGCTCTGCGGGGCTCCAGGACAGGCAGTGGTTTCGGAAGACCAGCTTCTAGTGTGCTGGGAACCCGTCCCCAGGATCACACCCTGCCCTGATGGCAGCACACCACGCCCTGTGCTGCCTGCCCTCTGACTTCTGCCACCACACTCAGTCTAGCAGTGCCGTTTACCAGTGAGGGGCTACGGGGCAGCGGCAGCAGGTGCATGAATTGACACAAACCACCCCTCCTTCCTGCACCTTGTTTCTTCCGCACCTGCCACGTGCAAGTGCTCACCGCCGACACCATCACGGAGCTGGGAGCGAGTGTGGTGAGAGTTGCCCGCAGTGCCCGGAACACAGAAGACATGTAATACATGTTCGCTCTCCTCCTCCCTCCATTTCGCATTACCCAACACTGCTCCCCCAAAGCCCGGAGCCCAGGATATATCACACAGGGGTTGTGGACAAGCAGGAGACTCAGTCAATGCCCGGTGAAGGGACAGACACACGGAATGTTAAATCTGCCACTTCTGGGAGCCACACGAGTCCTTGGGGGGGCGTTGGGGAGGGTGTTGACTACGGTATCTGGATCTCCTAGCTGCCCTGTTCCAAAGAGAGGCTGGCCTGCCACACGGGCAAACACCCCGGCTGCGATGTCTGTGCAGTGAGCGCCGTCTACAGCGGGCAGGTTACGACACAGGCGTGTAGCCTAGAATCACCCAGACGCAAGCAGGGGTGTGCTGCCAGGACTTCCTGAAAGGGCATATGGTACCAAGACCAGCCCCTCTGGGGCTCCCCTGCTTCCAACTCAACCTCGGTCCTTGGGCTTCAGCCCGCTGTGCCAGAGCCCTCTACCCTCTGCTTCTCCATCCAACGCTGCAAAACCACAACGGATGCTCAGTTACACGGCCCCTCCACACTCCGCAGTGTCCTCCAGCTCCACGCAGGAGCCACCAAGCAAACCAAACACCAAACTCACTGCCACCAAGTCTCTGCTGGCCCAAGAGTGGCCCTATAGGACACGGTAGGACTGCCCCTTATTAATTTCCCATACTGGGACTCTTTACCGGAGTAGCAAGCCCACAGAGCACCGGGTGGTTTCAAACTGCCGACCTTGAGGTTCGCAACCTAATTTGTAACCACTATGCCACCCGGGCTCCGCAGGAAGCAGTTTCAAGTCAATTATCACCTGCTGGCCCCACTGCCTAGCACACCTGGCCATTTGGGAAACAGGCTGCCACAGGCCCTGCTCCCTGCCCTGGCACACGCACGGCC